TGCTCATTGCAGGCAGGGTTTTTTAGGCCTGAAATGTTATATAAACTATTATTAGACATTTATTAACAAAACAAGACCATAATCAACTCTCGATGCCATCGGATACTCAAGATTATAACTAGATTAGAACGTTTCGCCATTTAAAAATTTAATTTAAAAATGGGAACGCGAGGCTAAGTCTCGAATATACCAGTACTCTGGTTACCACAATGCACACATCTTGTCAACACTACACACAGTGAAATGAAATGAAATGAAATGGGGTTTAGCGTCCTACTGTTCTGCTCCTATACTGGGCTAATGAAGACGGGCATACGCCATACAGTGTGCTATGAGGGACATTTTGCCCGGGCAGCGGCACTATCGCCTACTCTTATATCAAATTCCAACTGCCAAGTGATCTTTTACGTGCATTCCAATGCATACAGGGGACCTCGGGTTTTCGTCTCATCCGAAGGACTAGACAATTGTCCTTGTCAGGCCCTCCGTCCTGCATCACTGACAAGGGGGAACCACGCACACACAATGATAACTTGGCTCAGAATGAAGTAATTTGGATGAAATTTTAAATATTCTCATTTTACATTATCTATTTTGGAGCTAGTATAGCAAGAATGGTCACCTCTTTATTTAAATCTTACATAATGTATCTTTAATTGGTTTCTCCTTGGAGAGTGGTTCAACTCCTATAAAATTAACAGGAGAGATGAAAACACGAATTATTTGTCAATTCAAATCAACATTGGTCTTGTGATCTTACAGGGAAAAGATGGGCTTCTGATATCCAATATTCAAGACAAAATAAACATTTTACCATTGTTACATGAATCGTGTACCATAATGCGTTTCAGCGCCATTTGGAACAAGGGGCTCAAAGAATGAGGACAGACATATTCCACAAATCATGTCAAATGGTGACGCTATATTCTTATCTGGAGAGCATGCGCAATAAATACCATCGGTGTAGACTTGAATAACCAGAGGCTAAAGATTGTCATTTAATTGACACTTTGGCGCATTTCGCCGAACATAACTGATTTGAAATTACAGTAAAACAGAAACCATTGAATGAAAATCGGTTTATATACATTCCTATTACATTATTACAAGCGTTGCGACCCATTTGTGTCAATTTCGAGGTCAAAAATATTAGCGACTTAGCTCCTTTAAAGCGACAGCCCCAACCGGAATGTGAACATTGTCATGTTCCTGTGACAATTAAACACATTTTGATTGAGTTCAATCATCTCAAGTGCCTAAAATCAAAACATTTCTGTGATATTGATTTTATTTGTCTCGTGAATTTCACCATATGTTTGATGCAATATAGCCCGGTTGAAGCTGACGTGTCATAAAAATCCATTTCATTTATTCCTTCGTTCATACTTAATTGGTTGCTTTCACGTGATATTTATGCTTGAACGAGTTAGATTATAACCTACATTTGAAGGAGACCAAGCGTACATAAATTACAAGCTTATAAGCGACGGATTAAGACCACGAGTCCTTTGATGTTTATTAAAATTGGATATTTGAACTATTTTCTATATCGGTTATAGTCGTATTATTATTTACGTGAAAGTTATATTCGTGCATTAACAACAATAGCTTTTATTAGCCAATACAAATCCATCGATATTGTCTAAAAGCCATAAATAAACATCGATATTGTCTACAAGCCATAAATAAATGTACCGTCAACGATCTGAACTGAAGTGAAGTTTTCACCTGGTTAATACACAGATCCTTTTTCGTTTCGCTTTTTATAGTTCAAAATTTCGTTTTACTTGTCTTCACAACACTAGGATCTGGAAGAGTTGTTATATAACATGCGTTATAGTTGATGCGAGGGATTAGCCAATGAAACGGTCTGTTACGGCGAGTTATTGGCGTGCTGTGCACGGAACCGTGGGTAGACCCCTAGAAACGTCAATGCTGATTGATTAATCAATGTCTGACGTCATAGGGTCAAATACCGCAGTGATGACCCCTGACCCGACCTCCCAGTACAACTGGTCAGATCTTCAGGTAGTGTAGGCCATCGAAAGTATGAAAAAACGAAACGAAATATACATCTGTATTTTAATCAGAATGGTGAAGTTTCAATTAAACATATAAAAAAGTTTCGCGATCGAACCCAGTTAGAGATTGATTAATCAATGTCTGACGTCATAGGGTCAAATACCGCCTTACTCACTTTGCTTTAGATCTTCTTTGATCCATTTTTGTAATTCTCTACACGGACTGTACAGCTTGTATTGATTACTTCATTTATGGCAACGGCCTTGGGATTTTGTAGGCACAAATAAACTTCATCATATTAAGCCTCTCAATTTGTGTCGCTCTCGCATTGATCACACTTTTTAACTCACATTGTCATCTTAAACATACATTATGCAAGAGCTAAATCTGCCTGTTGCAGGTCTTTCTTTGGGCCTTAAATGTTATCTAAATTATTAATTAGACATTAATTAACTTATCCAGACCATAATCAATTATCGATGCCATCGCTAGCCTGCGATATTTACTGGATTTGAATCGGATTTGCTGCTGAACGCTCATAGATGATTTAATCCAAATTGAATAATCGAGACTATGTTTTCTATCGTGTCGACTTTAGTAATGATGCTCGAGTCTAGGCCTAAAATCTAGGTTCAACGTGGATCAATTTGACTGAAATTTTCAGCAAACTCCCATAACACCCCTTTAAAGCGAGTGCCCCAACCAGAATGTAAACACTGTCAAGTCTTTCGGCAGTTAAAGATACATTATGTAAGATTTAGATAAAGAACTAGCCATTCTTGCTATAATAGTTCAAAAGTAGATGATGTAAAATGAATAATTTAAAAATTTCATTCAAATTACTCTATTGCAAGCGAAGATATTAGCCTTTGAAGGTTTGACAGACGTGTGCAATTATTTCAACCACCGTACTGGTTGATCGAAGCTAAGTCTCGGGCCTCCATATTTGATTAAATCAAAGTATCGCTGAACCATTCTAATCTATTTAATATCGGAGAAATCTGATGCCATCGAGAGTTGATTAAGGCCTTGATCAGTTAATTAATGTCTAATTAATACTTTAGAAAACATTTCAGACCTAAAGAAAGTCCTGCAATAGGCAGATTTTGCTCTTGCATAATGCATGTTTAAGCACATTCTGATTGAGTGCACGCTACTCAGGGACATAAGATCGAAGTATTACCGTTGCCAAACATCTGTTTTCACAACCGGGTCTATATGGTAAAGTTCTAGACTTTTTAAATGAGACAAATTTTTATCTTGATTTCATGTTAATTTTTTAAATATATATACTGTATATATAAAATATAGTGATATTTATTTTTAATTTAAAATTCACTTTGCTATTTGTTTATATTTATAATAATTGTGATAATTCATATTTAGTTGGTCTCGATTAGTTGACTTGGTGCTGACGAGCCATTAAACCACATTTCATTCATTTATTTCAATTTTTATTTTAAATATGCATAGGTCTATTTTTTTGCGTGTAATAATTGTATTTATATGCGTCTCATATTTCACTATTGTGTTTGTCGCAGTATAGACCGGTTGGTGCTGATACTCCATATCATTTCATATTCATCGAGAGGTTAACAATGTACATTCTCAAACTATGGATGAAGGCGGGAAGATGGGAGAGGGGGTGGAGCTATGAACAGTTACAACAAGCAATGGGTAAAGGCGGGAAGATGGGAGAGGGGTGGGGCTATGAACAGTTACAACAAACAATAGATGAAGGCGGGAAGATGGGAGAGTATTGGAGCTATGAACAGTGACAACAAATAATGGATGAAGGCGGGAAGATGGGAGAGGGGTCGGGCTATGGACAGTTACAACAAACAATGGATGAAGGCGGGAAGATGGAGGAGGGTGGAGCCATGAACATTTACAACAAACAATGGATGAAGGCGGGAAGATGGAGGAGGGGTGGAGCTATGAACAGTTACAACAATACATAAATTGTTTGATTCGTTAAGTCATAAAAATGTTACCTCTAAAACAATGCATTACAATTCTAGAAAAGTCGAAAACGAATAACTTTTTACTGAAGGCCCTCCAACTTGCCGCTTCTCAAACCCAAAATCATGTACTGTTGCGCTCGCCTTGTGTATAATTTAATTATTGATTTTGGGCGATATAGTTTCCTAGGTAGATACCCACATATTCGCACACCAGAAAATTAGAAATACTGTATAATTAAAATCCTCCATCTCTACCGAAATTACTATTTTTGCGTAAACGATTATTGCCAAGAAATAAAGAAATAGACTGTATGGTTTGAATAAAGCCTGGGGGGGGGGGGGGATAGCCGAATGGTTAGTACGCGCGCGCTGTATCATAAGGTCTGTCATTGAGTCAACTGGCGGAGTTTCGATTCCCCGGTTGTACGTGACAAGGAGTAGGGTTGCCTGTCCTCCGGTTTCCTTCCACTGCTAAAGACCCTACGCGCAAGCGAATTATTGAAATAAAATAATTAAACCATATGTTAGGCCTGAAATGACCTAGTTTGTGTCGAGTGGACGTTAAACCCCATTTCTCTCTCTCTCTGCTTCACTACAAGAGTACATTTATTCTTAGATCTGTTCATCTTCTTATGTAAACGGTGGCTAAGTGGGTAAGACGATGGCTCGCTAGCCTTGAGGTCGGATGTTCGATCCCTGCATTGGCCGAGAAAGTTCATCCAGATTTTCCGGCGTGGTCCCCCCTTGTCAGTGATGCAGGACAGCTGTTTAGTCGTTCGGATGGGACGAAAAATCGAGGTTCCATGTACACATTGGCGTGCACGTAAAAGATCCCTTGACAGTTGGAATTCGATATAAGAGTAGGTCGTAGTGCCGCTGTCCGGGCCAAATTTCCCTCATAGCACACTGTATGGCGTATGTCCGTCTTCATTAGCCCAGTTTAGGAGCAGAACAGTAGGACGTTTAACCCCATTTCGTTTCATTTATAATGTAAATGATAACACAACAACTTCGTTTGTAATATAGAATTTACTGTCAACGCACATACCATAGGCAAAGATTATTTTAAAAGAGCAAAGCGACGAATTATATCCAAACTTTATTTTAAGAGAGAAAAACGACGAACTATATGCAAAAGTATTTTAAAAAAACAAAAACAAAAAACAGATGAAGCAGACGTAAGTTACAAACTGAACCTCTTACTCTTCTTTTTGGAAGAAAGTAACACTGGAATCGTATTTTTGAAATAAAATAAAACACTGGAAGAGTATAATTGAACCAAAAAACAACTGTGAACCAGAATTAAATAAACCACTTGTCCAAGAAAAAATAACCCAGAAATTAGAATTATTTGAATCAGACCATTTTGACATTTGATTCAAATAGATGACGGATTGATTTAAGCTCCACCAATTCCGCTGGGTTTGGTAGTAGTTGTAGTAGAGTTGAAAGGGTCATCGTCACATCGTGTAATAATTACCTGCAAAAATACAAAAAATATAAAAATATAAGCGTAAACCAAGTACTTTATTTTAAATGAAATATTTTGAGGATGGCTAGATAACTTTCATTGTCAATTGATAAACGTTTCGTCGATAGACGTCAAGGCCCCAGTTAACGTTTTACTGTTCTGTTACGACTGGGATAATGAAGACGACGAACTAACGCATGCTAATCGTTGCTTATTATTTAGTGTTCGAGTTAATGCTTTACTGTTCTGTTCCGACTGGGCTAATCAGGAGGAGGAGCTAACACATGCTAATCGTAGCTAAATATTAAGTATTAGACGCGGGGTTAGGGTTAACCAATCTTTGTGGCTGAAATTGCTCTTAGTGGATGAGAGTGAGAACAACCCTAGGGCTTCCAGTGTGCTACGCCAAGTTCCGGCCCTGAACGGTTAATTCAGGTGACACGTCAAGCTATGGTTATAACCGCCCTTGATGCGACGAAGAAGTAGCGAACGGCGATTATGTGTATAAACCTACACCTATAACGTTTGGACCGAACACGACCATCATCTAAGTCAACAATAAATTATATCATTAAACACAATTGTCATCGTTAAACATAGTTAATACAAGGGTTATTTTCATTTATCATTTAAAAACTTACGTATTCAATCCATCCACGAAAACTATTTAATCTGTTACCATGACCCAACTGAAAGGCACATGGTGATACTTCTAGCAGTCCTAGAAACATGAAGACGATAAGTATTTGAGAATCGTTGTTATTGGTGATATATTAAAGAGAGGGAGAGGGAGCGAAGGAGCGAGAGAAGGATGGGGTTAACGTCCACTCGACACAAACCATGGGCTAAGGAAGACGGGCATACGCCACGCAGTGTGCTATGAGGGGAATTTTGCCCGGACAGCGCTGCGGCCTATTCGTATATCGAATTCCAACTGTCAGGTATTCTTTTCATGCGTACACGGGGTCTTGGGGTTCCTCTCCCCCGAACGACCAGGCAGATATCTGGCATGTCAGGCCCCCCATCCTTTTGCACTGGAAAGGGAAACCACGGCTTAAAATCTTGAGGAACCTTCTCGGCAAAACCGGGAGCGAGCTCGAGACTCCCTGGCTAGCGAGCCAGTGTCTTACTCACTGAGCCACCGCGACTCCGCCATATTACAAGAATTGATACTATACTATTACCTGCGAATTGCGTGACATCTCTTTGAAGGCCATCTTGGCCACTGAAAGTTCCAGACTTGATTTCATATACAATTTCTTTCCAGACGGTCTACAAATAAAATGAAATGAATGTGGTTTAAGGTCCTTCTGTTGTGCTCCGTGACTAAAGATTAGTCCACTACTGTTTCAGAAATGAAATGTAGTTTAACGTCCTATACTAATGAAGACGGGTATACGCCATACAGTGTGCTATGAGGGAAATTTTGCCAACTGCCAGGGATCTTTTACGTGCACGTCAATGTATGCACGGATCCTCGGTTTTTCATCCCATCTGAACTGCCAGGGGACTTTGTACGTGCACGTCGATGTATACACGGATGCTCGGTTTTTCGTCCCATCCGAAAGATAAGACAGCTGTCCTTGTCAGGCTTACAATCTTTTAGCAGGACATTTACACACGTTACATATATTCTCTAGTTATCGTATATGTCATTCGATAACACAATAGTATCAATGATATTCGAATTCGAAATTAAAATTCACTAATATTTGGTCCATTTCAATTAATATTAATGTCGTTACCTTACCGTGAAATATGGGATCCTAATGTCAACTACTCACTTCACAACGAACTTTTTAAAATCAGTACACGTGTCGTGTACTCTATGGGTATAATGCACTCGGCAAACCTCGGTTGATTCAGTTACTCAACATCTAGTCTCGGCTGTATGACGGTAAGTGATGTACCTACGCCTATACAATTGCGATGCGGCACCGATTTACTTATTAAAAAAATTGCAGCTTTTAAACAGAAGTTATCAAAATTGCGTCGTTCGAAGCGTGCGTAGAATTTTAGTGCAAAGTTGTCCTTGTTTCAAGAAAATCGGATATACTTGAAAAAAAACCCAGCTAGATGTAGGGTACTGGAATCGCCGAGGTTTGCCGAGTGGTGTGTAATCGTTACAGGCGATTGTAACGAAGAAAGAAAAACATTTCACAAAATACATTGCGGGAATGATTAAATATTCACAAACGATAAAAAAATAATTTAAGAGAAAAATGTGTAAAATGGACTAAGCAGATGAAAACGTCTGCCATTCAATTTGAACTGTTCGCGTTTTTCACCGAATATAATTGATTAGAAATTACAAAAAGGGTGTTAATAAGTTTATAAACACCCATATTACATTAATATGTGTTTTATACCCACGTGCTAACGCCATTTAATACCAGTATCATTATTTTAAAGTTACAATTTCATATTTTCTAAGAAAGACAAAACATAATTATTTCTATGTCTTTTGCTCAATAGGTTGTCAACTCACTATTATACGATCATAGGTGTAATTCTCACACTTAAAACCCATTTACACCGGAAAGAATAATACAATAACCTCCCAATTACCTCCCTTGTTTTCTATTCTCCAACATGGAGTAGCTATCTTCAAACGTTTGAATTTGAAGTTGAAAATGATATTTTTGCCAATTTCTCAACTGGCAATAGTGAATTATAGGATTAATAGAATTATTCTTTAACAAGGTAGGATTGTTTATACATACCATCTTTTTTAGGGCTTTATTTTAATACATTTTAAAAATATAACTTAAAAATATGAAATTGTTACTTTAACTGACAGTCGATGTGAAAGAAATACAACGGCGTTTAACATCCTACTGTTCTACTCCGACTGGACTAATGAAGAGGGTCATACGCCGTACAGTGTGCTATGAGCGAAATTCTCCCAGTACAGTGGGGCTACGGCCGACTCTTATAATATATCGAATTCCAAGTGTCAGGGTTATTTTTCATGCACGACTATACCTTGTTCCTTGCCAGGTCATCCGTCAAGCACCACTGACAAGGGGTAACCACACCGGAAAGTCCCAATTACCTTTCTTACTCACTGAGCCAGCGATGTGATTGTTTGTGAAAAGAACTCAGGAGACACGGGTTCGCTTCCGGTGTTGGCCGAGAAAGTTCATCGAGATTTTCCGGCGTGATTTCTCTCTTGTCAGTGGTGCAGAACGAAGGGTTTGACAAGAACAGCTGTTTAGTCGTTCGGATGGGACGAAAAACCGGGGTCCCGTGTACACATTGGAGTGCACGTAAAAGATCCCTTTGCAGTTGGAATTCAATATAAGAGTAGGCCGTAGTGCTACTGTCCGTGCAAAATTTCCCTCATAGCACACTGTATGACGTATGCCCGACTTCATTAGCCCAGTTCGGAGTAGAACAGTAGGACGTCAAACCTCATTTCATTTCAGTTGGACGTTAAATCTCATTTCATTTTATTTGAAACGTGAAGAAATATAAAGGTTTAACTTACGGAGGAATTGGTATTAAGTGTCTGTGCTGATCTTGAAACGCTTTTAGCTAAAAATTCAGTAGATTGGCCATTAGCTATGATTGCAATTGTTGAGGGTTTGTCACAGTCACTATTAGAAACAACGGCTTGCTGGGTTGTTTGGTCCGGAAATTCTGGTCGGTATTTCACATAAATGCTGATTCTTGATCGGAAATCAACATTCGACAAGCGAAGTATCCGGATGCTACTGTTACCATTAAAATATGCTTGTCCATTCTGTCTAACAGCACCGTAGTTATCATATTCTCCAGGTTCGGCTGTTTCAAAATCGATGTGAACAATCGGCTTACAAACTGAAAGGTTATTAAAGAAGGAGATTATCGACTTAGGAAATAAGATATTGAATTCTTTGTTTCCCATACGGAGAGAAAAATGGGGTTTAACGTCCACTCAACACAAACTAGGTCATTTCGGGACTAACGCATGGTTCAATTTTATTTCAATAATTCGCTTGCGCGTAGGGGTCTTTAGCAGTGGGATGAAACCGGGAGGAGCCGGAGAAAACCCACGAGGTTGGACAGACAACCCTACTCCTTGCCACGTACAACCGGGGAATCGAAACCCCACCAGTTGACTCAATGACAGACCGCATGATACAGAGCCCACGTGCTAACCATTCGGTCATCCAACCCCCCTTCCCATATGTTGTTGCGACAGAGGTGAAATGAGTGGTTAGGGGAATACTTTACAGCATTTGGCGACATTAGAATCGATAACTGAACTATCACAGTTTCTGCTGCTGAACTGATCGGTCTTGCTTCTTTTTTTTGTTTCAATCAATGATTGGACCAACGGTTAACGGATGTTGTGGTCACAGAGGTTGAATAGATGGATTCTAGAATACTTCACAGAAAGTATGGGTCGCGGGTCTAACCTTTTCCTGGTGCTCAGCGGGAGACAAACCCATGATGACACTCATTATCCTTGCCGTAGGCGACCCTATAGACTAGATATTTGGGCTATTGCAATTCCTGCAGCTGGACGGTTACATTGGTGGCTAAGCGTTGGTGGAGAACTCATACTAGAATCTTACATAGAAAGCATGGGCCACGGGTCTAACCTTTTCCTGGTACCTACCGGGAACCGAACTCGCGACGATGCAGGAAAGTAAGACGTTAAACCCCATTTAATTTTATTTTAAAAGAGGGTCGCGTATTGGAACCGTTTTACTTTCAATCCAACAAACTAAATATCTCAGCAAACCAACTGGTATGAATGATTTGAACAGGGCCCTCTCTAAACTGGACACACAAACCCACCGGACATGATTAGCCATTACTCTATACCACTTGTAGGCCTACTTAAGAGCTAGGTCTTTAGGTAGATCCTATGATGATCCCAAACATCATCATTGGACTCTTGTAACTCAAAAGGGGATACATTTCTTATTCGCATGCTCTTAGTCCTCTATCTCTTACCTACAATTGGCTTTCTAGCTAGTTTCATAGGAACCACTTGTCTGCGATATCGCCCCGAGTGCAAGCAGACGTTAAATCCGACACCATGACACGTCAGGTCTGGTCCGCAAGACAACCACACGCATCAATAAATCATCAACTCACCTGCTGCACATGATGTGTACGCAGCAGTAATACAACCACACGCATCAATATCATAAGCTGTACCAGGAGGACAGGGCATCTTATAAGTTCTTCCATTTGTCTGCCAGTTGAAGAAACACGGGTCATTTCTTATTGCAGCAAATTTGCAGCGTAAGCAACAATCTATAAAATAAAAATGGCTATGATAATAAAAGACTTCGACTAATGAAAGAAAGTAACTTCCTTTTACATCGGCACGTAATATAGTGGTTTGGTTTGGAGTGGAAGGCACTGAAATGAAATGAATTGAAAATGGGGTTTAACGTCCTACTGTTCTGCTCCGAACAGGGCTAATGAAGACGGACATTCGCCATACAGTGTGATATGAGGGAAATTTTGCCCGGACAGCGGCACTACGGCCTACTCTTATATCGAATTTCAACTGTCAAGGGAATTTTTGCCCTCCGTCCTGCATCACTGACTAGGAGGAACCACGCCGGAAAATCTGGATGAACACGATTCTTTTCCAATTTGCGGTTCACGTTATATTTTACACCGTATCGCGATATTTATTCAATAAATTAGACAGTAGGGCGAATAGCAATTACCTATCAATTTCGTGTAAAGAAAAATCTCGGTAGGGCGTATAGCATTTACCTATCAGTTCCGTGTAAAGAAAAATCCCGGTAGAATAATAATATGTCCCGGTCTTCCAGAATGCATATCATTACAAAAACTGACCTACTAGTCTCGTGCAAATTACGACCCAGAAACTTGATAAGACATTCTCCATTGGACAAAATACCGGAAGTCATCAATTTTACACCAATTAATCGCATTTGACACTCATTTCGTCTTAGCGATATCGGTGGCCCTTACGAAAATCGTTACGAAATTTCAGGAAGCCTTCTTAAAAAATGTTAATATGCTTTTTTCAAGGCATCCTTATTCTTACTAAATTTCAACTTGATACATCAAATAGTGACGGCTATATGCCATCTTGAATGTCGAAAAAATGACGAAGAAAACTTTCGCAAATCTTTGATGCTAATATTAATCGAGCGAACTTCCGAATTTCGAAAAACCACCAGTCAGAGCCCATATGGGATTCGCCCAAAGAATCCAAATTGAAAACCATGAAGAAGATCCGTTGAGAAATGTACAATCTGAGATTATTGTTGTTTGTCCTATCCATAAAACACAAAATGAAAACTCGAAGAAGATCCGTTGAGAAACAACTGAGATATGGGCAATCTGAGATTATTTTTTTGTCCTATCCGTAAAACACTTCCCGTTTGTCAAAATGACCTAATTTATATTTAATAAATAGATCCATGGAGGCCAACCACATCTACCTTGGCAGAGTGTTTGCATCGTTTTGACTGCACACACTGATTACCCCCTCCCCCCTCCACAAAAATAATAAAAACACTTACAGAAACAATATGTGTTTCGACCGAAGGTCCGAACCACGTAAAAATGTGTTAGGTTTAAAATCTATTACATACTTTTAGGAGGTGCGTCTTTGTTGCAATCGGTGTCTATAACGCACTGACCATTCTTGTAGGCGTATCCAGAAGAGCAAAGCTTGGCTTGTGAAACTCTGTTAGTACACATATAATGCTCAGCACAATTTCCACTGGTCTTGTAAGAGCTAACAGTACCATTAATACAGGGATCTGAATAAAAATCATCGTAGAACGTAATAACCATCGCCAGAGTTATGCCCAGTTTTTAACGCAATCATTTCAGCACTTAACTGGTAACAATTATTAACGAGAGAGAGAGACAAATGGGGTTTAACGTCCACTCGAAACAAACTAGGTCATTTCGGTAATAACATATGGCTCGGTTTTATTTCAAAAATTCACTAGCGCGAATGGGTGTTTAGCAGTGGGGGGAAACCAGAGGACCCGGAGAAAACCCACGAGGTTGGACAGGCGATTCGAAACCACGCCAGTTGACTCAATGACAGACGTTATGATACAACGCTCACGTGCTAACCATTCAGCCATCTAACTCCCCCTGATCATATATATAGAGAGAAATGGGGTTTAACGTCCACTCGACACAAACTAGGTCATTTCGGGACTAACATATGATTTAATTCTTTTCAATAATTCGCTTGCGCGTAGGGGTCTTAAGCAGTGGGAGGAAACCGGAGGATCCGGCGAAAACCCACGAGTTTGGACAGGCGACCCAACTCCTTGTCACGTACAACCGGGGATTCGAAACCACGCCAGTTGACTCAATGACAGGCCTTATGATCCTTGATCATATAAGTTACCATAGTAATGTACTATTGGTGATATCTTTCGTTTAGGATATTGCGCGATCACAAACGCCTAACGCCGTGGAGCGTGTGCGAAAATTGTACTTTTCTGCGTTTGTGTTAAGGTTAGACCGATTTCGTTGTACCAAAGTATTTTTCTGAATACAGCCATTTCGACATTTCCAGCCTCTTCAACAATTTATGCAAATTATAATAATATGTATATATCTTACCATTAGGACAATGGACTTGTCCAATAAAGTTACATGTTAGTAGAGTTTGATCCCAGAAGGTTCCAAATCCGCACTGCTTTATCTCAAAACCTGCCAAATTTCCATTTCTCACAAAATTACATTGGATGAATTTATCACATTCCAGATGAGGATTGTATCCAATACCATTTCTAATCGCACAGTCCCTACATGCTCCACTTCCGGAATTATATGTCGTGTTGTCTGTTGTAACTGATGGCGTTGTGTTTGTAGATTGTCCTAAAACAAAAAATAACTTTCCTTGTATTCTTTATAACTTTTAGTTGAGAGAGAGAGAGAAATGGGGTTTAACGTCCACTCGACACAAACTAGGTCATTTTGGGACTAAAATATGGTTTAATTTTATTTACATAATTCGCTTGCGCGTAGGGGTCTTTAGCAGTGGGAGGAAACCGGAGGACCCGGAGAAAACCCACGAGGTTGGACAGGCGACCCTACTCCTTGCAGCGTACAACCGGGGATTCGAAACCACGCCAGTCGACTCAATGACAGACTTTATGATACAGCGCACGCACGCTAACCATTCATCCATCCAACCCCCCCCCCCCCCACACACACACACACACACACACACACACACACACACTTTTAGTTGAAGTGCTTAGTCTTAGACAGAAGCGGGGTTGGACGGCCGAATGGTTAGCATGTGTGCATTATATCATAAGGTATGTCTTTAAGTCAACTGGCGTGGTTTCGAATCCCCGGTTGTACGTGACAAGGAGTTGGGTAGCCTGTCCAACCTCGTGGGTTTTGTCTGGGTCCTCCGGTTTCCTCCCACTGCTAAAGACCCCTACGCGCAAGCGAATTATTGAAATAAAATTGAACCATGTGTTAGTCCCGAAATGACCTAGCTTGTGTCGAATGGACGTTAAACCCCATTTCTCTGTCTAACCGGTCAGGTCTTCATGTAGTGTAGGCCATCGAAAGTATAAAAATAAAATAAAACCAAGTACGAACAATCCAAACCATAAGACAGAATTCGAAGTCCTAAAAAACGTTATAGGCAAAATAGTGTATTCAAGCAAAATAGTGTAATCAAGCAAATGGACTGCTCCTCGCACAAAACGGGGTGTTGCATTGTCAACTGTCATATTCCATTAACAGGAGGCTGGCAAACCGCCTCCTGCAAACATTCCTGGATCCGTCCCTGATATATGTAACCAAAGTGGCCAATATAAGATAGACATCGTAAAAAATAAACAACGTATCAAATCAAGTGAATGGATCCGGTGGTCAGCTGTAAGCGTCCACTGCGCTGTAGAATTCGGGTCCTGTAATGCCACAGGCTTCAATCAAAATAAAAAAAGTTCTGATTTACAAGAAGTAGCAGAAATAATTCGATTGGTCGATGTAAGAGCAAGAAATGGCGTTTAAAATAGCGCACAAGCGAACACAACATAACACCTTATAAGAGAAGGAATATTAATTATCTACACATCTATAAGTTTAATGAAAAAGAGTGGGTTGGGTAACCGAATGGTTAACGCGTGCGAGTTGGATCACAAGGTCGGTCATTAAGGCACGATACTGGATCTTGACCGATCTGGAAAATATCTGTTCATGTTTATACCCACAATTCTAACCCTAACCCTTCAGAATAGTTTTACACACAATCCACCGTTGTTACAGCTTCAATTTGTACGTTTGACATGTTATTTATAAACCTAACCCTAACCCTAGAGAAAGATATTTCTCAGATCGTACAAAGATCTAGTATTGTGCGTCATTGAGTCAAGTAGCGTGGTTTAGATTCTCCGCTTGTATGTGACAAAGAGTAGGGCGGCATGTCCAGTCTCGTGGGTTTTCTCCGCGTCCTCCTGCCCCCCCCCCCACTGCTAAAGACCCCTACGGCCAATCGTATTATTGAAACAAACCTTATGATACAGCGCGCACTCGCTAAAAAATTACGGCTATCCAACGCCCCAAACCGTATGATTAAATCTTGCATGTAATGCCATTCAGTCATTCAACTACTTTTTAAAAAAAACACAATAGAATTCTTACCATTGCTGAATGAAGCAAGCGACATCCCAATCACCAACACAAACAGTAAACTTTTCGCCATGGCAGCTGTAAAATGAAAGTATGTGATCAGTGTATGATTGCTTAGACAAAGAGATTCTCTTTGAAAGTCAATATTGTTTCGTGAAATGAAACCAAACGAGGTTTAAAGCCTTAGTGGTCTGCGTCCACCAGGACAATGAAGTCGGACACGCGCCATGCATTGTGCTATGAGATGCGTCTTCTGGAACCTGCAGTCAATGGTGTATACGGTGTTCTTCCCATCCGAACGACTTGGTGCTATTGCTGGTCATTCCTTCCGTTCTGATCCACTGACATTGGGAAACCAGGTTGAACATCCCTGAGAGTAACTTGCACAGCGAACACCGGAATCGAACACGCCCCCTACCCATTCCTTCCCCGCCCCCCAAAAAAAAACCCGACATCAGAAAATATTGCGTGATTCCCCAATATCTAAGCAGAGGTATCAGCTGTTCTAGAAAGTAAAAATTAAAACTCTAATTCAATACTTACAAATATGGAAAGTGACGAGGTTGTTAACTGACCAAGACGACAATCTAAATGTTAATTTTAAACCAAGTCATTTATATTTATAGCATTTATTGAATCACCTAAACTGAAAAGAATTATCTGGATCATTTTTTCTGATACAAGTAACCCGATTTTCACATTGAAAAGAATATATTATCATAATTTAAAGGCACACCAACTAGGTGGTACACATATATCTCGGTACGACACGTCAGATGGTACTTTATATCTCGGTACGACACGTCAGATCGTAACATATATCTCGGTACGACAAGTCAGATCGTAATATATATCTCGGTAGAACAAGTTAGATCGTAATATATATTTTGGTAGAACAAGTCAGATCGTAATATATATCTCGGTAGAACAAGTCCGATCGTAATATATATCTCGGTAGAACAAGCCAGATCGTAATATATATCTCGGTACGACAAGTCCGATCGTAATATATATCTCGGTAGAACAAGCCAGATCGTAATATATATCTCGGTAGAACAAGTCAGATCGTAATATATATCTCGGTATGACAAGTCAGATCGTAATATATATCTCGGTACACCAAGTCAGATCGTAATAAATATCACGGTCAGATCGTACACATACATGTCGGTACACATCGTATACATCTATGTGCGACAAGTAACATCATGCACATATACCTCGATATCGTACACATATATTTTGGTGCAACAGACCAGGTCGTACACGTAAATCTTGGTACGGCAAGTCAGATCGTACAACTATATCTTGGTACGGCAAGTCAGATTATACAAATATATCTTGGTACGGCAAGTCAGATCGAACAAACATATATTGGTACGGCAAGTCAGATTGTACAAATATATCTCCGCACAATAAGTCAGATCGTACATTTATATATCTACACAAAAAGCCACGTCGTACACCTATTAAAAATAAACTTCCGGAAGAATTGGGTAACTTCTGTAAAATTTGAATGACCATAACTTAGGTTGAATAATTTGAGCCCAAAATGTTTTTCGCGAGTGAAACACAGATAACGTGAAGCACAGAGTGAGAAGGTAAGGGATGAATATGGTCTTACCACTTTACATATAGCCTTTATACATATAACCTTTATGCTGACATGTGGCCGAAGCATTCGCTCGAATATAGAATTCATTAGCCAATCACCACTCATATCGAGAAGTCACGTGACTTGAAGATTAAAGACATAGACGCCGCCATGTTTAATCATGTGACGTGAAAGGTGATTCAATCGACAGGTTGAATCGGCCGAAGCATTTGGCTAGTGTGTCCACCCATTCGGCCGAATAAAATTCGGCGCCGATTGGTTCGGCCGAACGATTCGGCTAATGTGTCCACTGCGTAAGCCTTTATTCTAGCATGTCGGTGTTTTAACTAATATTTTATGATGCATGGTGTTTATCGTAACCTTTATTCTAGCATGTTGGTGTTTTAACTAGTATTTGGTGGCGTATGGTAACCTTTATCGTAACCTTTATTCTAGCATGTTGGTGTTTTAACTAGTATTTGGTGGCGTATGGTGTTAGCCTCTATCGTAACCTTTATTCTAGCATGTTGGTGTTTTAACTAGTATACGCTGGCGTATGGTGTTAACCTCTATAGTAATCTTTATTCTAGCATGTTGGTGTTTTAACTAGTATACGCTGGCGTATGGTGTTAGCCTCTATCGTAACCTTTATTCTAGCATGTTGGTGTTTTAACTAGTATACGCTGGCGTATGGTGTTAGCCTCTATAGTAATCTTTATTCTGGCATGTCCGTGTTTTAACTAGTATACGCTGGCGTATGGTGTTAGCCTCTATAGCAATCTTTATTCTGGCATGTCCGTGTTTTAACTAGTATTTGGTGGCGTATGGTGTTAGCACCTATAGTAATCTTTATTCTGGCATGTCCGTGTTTTAACTAGTATACGATGGCGTATGGTGTTAGCCTCTATAGTAATCTTTATTCTGGCATGTCGGTGTTTTAACAAGTATTTTATGATGCATGGTGTTAAACTCGATATTCAACCTTTATTGAGACAAGTTGCACTTAATATTAAATAACAGACTGACTGGCAGTTTCTAAATGAAAAAGGGTTTTTAAAAATTAATTCAAGGTGCATACTGTACAATGCGTGTTGGTCGCTTATTGATATCTTGGTGTGTGTGTGAGTGCGTTTTATTTATTCATACGCAATAAATCGTCATTTGAACGATTTGAACTGCTTTGTTAAAATGGCGGGAGGGGTATATATTTAGATCATTTCCGTTCTGAATCATCGGAAATCAATTTGTATTGCAAAAATGATTTTCTTGAATTTGCATACCTTTTGTATTGGAAAATATTTTAATTCAAACTCAGTGAATAACAACAAAGCATTGAACACAGCTATAGCTATTAATAAAAATTACATAAATTATTATTATTATTATTATTATTATTATCAACACCTGTAACAGTGAGCGTTTTGAAAGCCAACTGGGGCAAGGACAACTTTTCTTTTGTCAACTGACTGACAGGCAAACAATAGAAAAGGCCTTACAGGTTTTGGTGATTCTGAGAATTAGGAGGAGTGTCCCCTTTTCTAAGAATCTCGATTGCATTTTGAGACGTGTGTCACGAACGCCATCTATACAGTGTCCGTATATTATTGGACGGTCCGCTTTTGGCGGAAATTGATTTTTAAAGATGTATAACTCAAAACTCTAAGAATTTCTAGAAAGTTTATCAAGATATATATAAATATTAAATATATTGTAGAAATTAGTTAATTAACAAAGACACTACCCCCCCCCCCCCCCGCCTTTTTATTTTAAAATAACGGTTAAGAATGGATATTCTTATATCGTGCACAGGTTTTCTACAGTGCGTGTACCACTCTGTGTTGTTCTTGTAGGCCTACAGTGCGTGTACCATTCGTGTGCCAGGCTTGTACCGTTCTTATGGGATATAGTAAAATGAAATGAAATGAAATGGGGTTTAACGTCCTACTGTTCTGCTCCTAACCTGGGCCAATGAAGACGGGCATACGCCATACAGTGTGCTATGAGGGAAATTTTGCCCGGGCAGCGGCACTACGGCCTACTCTTATATCGAATTCTAACTGCCAAGGGATCTTTTACGTGCACGCCAATGTGTACACGGGACCTCGGTTTTTCGTCCCATCCGAACGACTAGACAGCTTTCCTTGTCAGCCCCTCCGTCCTGCATCATTGACAAGGGAGAACCACGCCGGAAAATCTGGATGAACTTTCTCGGCCAATGCAGGGATCGAACACCCGACCTCCAGGCTAGCGAGCTCGCGTCTTACCCACTTAGCCACGTGATCCCATTTATGGGATATAGAGCCTGCACCGTGCTACTGTTACGCTTGTACATTATGTGTACTATTATTGGGCGAATAATTGTGTATGCTCATTAGGTTATAGTATGGACGTTTGGCGAATAGGAATGAAATGAAATGGTGTTTAACGTCCTTCTGTTCAGCTCCGAACTGGGGTAATGAAGATGGGCATACGCCATACAATGTGCAATGAGGGAAATTTTGCCCGGACGGCGGCGCTATGGCCTACTTTTATATCGAATTCCAACTGCCAGGGGATCTTTTACGTGCACGCTAATGTGTACATTGGACCTCTGTTTTCCGTCCCATCCGAACGACTAGACAGCTGTCCTTGTCAGGCCCTCCGTCCTGTACCACTGACAACGGGAAACCACGCCGGAAAACCCCGATGAACTTTCTCGGCCAACACCGTGTCGCCACACTGTATGGCGTATGTCCGTCTTTATAAGTCCTGTTGGGGCAGAAAAGTAGGACGTTAAATCTCATTTCAATTCATTTCCAATTGTTTTACGTTAACGCCAACGTGTACACTAGACCTCGGTTTTTCGTCCCACCCGAACGACTAGACATTTTACTTGGTAGGCCCTCAGTCCTGTGCCCACTTGGGGGAACAGTGCGGTAAATCCCGAGTGGTGAACGTCTGACCTACTGAGGACCAGGTCCTGAGGTGTGTGTGTGTGAATTACCCAATACCTCTTAACCAGGTCAAACATTAATATATCCCTATCCCCTGTTTAATTCGTGCGAAACGTGATGATTCGCATGTTGTATAGATTATAGAGTTACTCACCTTTATAGTAATGGAATTAAACCAACTATATAAGCAATTATTGCTAGCTTTATCTTTTCCCGGTAATCAACTCAATATAGAGACCAGGGACGACCAAATGATTTATATATGTCGAAGCAAGAAAAATTGTGGGCTGCTTTCCATTCCTCACCCGTGCAAGTACCAAGTACAAAATAGGCACTTTACCGCTGCATAGCCGAGTAGGACATAACAGATCGGTTTAATGGCTCTGTGGTACAATACCGGATCCCAGGACCAGTTGCTGACCAACCGTTTATTTCTATATAATACTAATACGCAGTAATCTTTATATTGTCATAGAATATAATTCCTCGGTTTCCTCCACCCTGAAAGCATAGATTTACTACCCGTAGCACCACGATTTTCTACTAAGATGAAGAATTTACCTCAAACGTAGTAATGTGCAGATTACACATGATGCAATTCCTTGTTACAAAAGAGCTTTGATTTCCGGGATACTTACATGATTTTCCGCAATCCAATGTTCTGACAACATTCTTTGATTAGGTAGCAGCACCCACACAACAACGTAAAATCATGGGTGGGCATCCGATTATATTTTACATGTTCTATGAAAACAGGCGTTCTCCGGGTCCTCCGGTTTCCTCCCACTGCTAAAGACCCCTACGCGCAAGCGAATTATTGAAATGAAATTGAACCATATGTTAGTCCCGAAATGATCTAGTTTGGATCGAGTGGACGTTAAACCCCATTTCTCTCTGATACATATGCAGATTATTTTTCTTAAACCAGTCAGGTGTGGGACCATAGTGAAGGTGTACTTCTTTAAGGGATGTTATGTTTGTAGTAAATATTAACAAAACATGTTGTGGTTATTACCTCATACCAAGTACAAGTTTGTTGTTTTTTTTTGAATAACAGAGTATACGCTGCCATATACCCGATACCACCACCATCACTTGCAGTGGATAATAATAGACTTAAGACTAGTTCTAGGACCTAGTTATGTCATTGCATGCGCTGTCATATGCCCGATACCCATCACTACATGCCGTGTATTCGAAAAAACAGATAGAAACAGTTTTCAGTTCAATTTCCGCTACTCTGACCAAACGTGGAATTAAGCATCCCTTCGACCTTCGTGTGCGGTGCTAGGGAGAAATGAAATGGGGTTTAACGTCCTACTATTCTGCTCTGGCTGAGCAAAGGGAGACGGACATACGCCATACAATGTTCTAGCGGGACATTTTGCCTAGACAGTGGCAATACGACCTACTTTTATATTAAATCCCGAGGGACGTTCTCGCCCAATACCTGCGTGCTGGGGAGAAGAAGAGTGCTCGGGACATTTCCTTGGCATACCCATCATTGAATTCCAGTGGTCAAGGGTACTTTTGCTCATGCGTCAAAATGTACACGGGGACCCACGGGGACCCACGGGATTTTGTCCTATTTAAATTGAATATATCCTCGGAACATGGCACTGAATAATGAGAATACAATAACTCTGGGTTATATAAAACCTTTATTGACACAGTATATTATACGTAAAAATAATTCTAACAAAAGCCATATTTTGTGAGAGGCACGTTACTTCCTAGGTTTAAACACGCATGCAAGCGCTACATCTGCTTATTGCAGGTCTTTCTTTGGGCCTGAAATGCTCTCTAGACTATTAATTAGACATTAATTAAATTATCCAGGCCATAATCAACTCTCGATAGCATCGGATTTCTCCGATATTAAATAGATTAGAACAGTTCAGCCATATTTTGATTTAAGCTAAAAATGGAGGAGCGAGACTTAGCTTCGAACAACCAATACGGTGGTTGAAATTATTGCACACGTCTAGTCAAACCTTCAAAGGCTAATATCGTCGCTCGCCATAGAGTAATTTGAATGAAATTTTTCATTTTACATTATCTATTTTCGAAATATTACAGCAAAAATGGCTAGCTCTTTATCTAAATCTTACATAATGTATCTTTAAGTATTAATTGAACTAAACAGACGTATGTGTATGCTGCATCAATGTATCATACGCAAAAATAATTCTAACAAAAGCCATATTTAATATTACTCTTTTTAGAACTGTACGGACAAAAGACATTCAATTATTACTTCTTTAGCACATTTTACTACCTCGTGGGTTTTCTCCGGGTCCTCCGGTTTCCTCCCATTGCTAAAGACCCCCATGCGCAAGCGAATTATTGAAATAAAATTAAACCATATGTTAGTCCCAAAATGACCTAGTTTGTGTCGAGTGGATGTTAAACCCCCATTCCCTCTCTCTCTCACTAATTGAAATGATTGAAATTACTGAGACGTATGTTTAGGTCGTGTAGTAGCTGCAGTCGTAGTTGTAGCAGTAGCAGTAGCAGCAGTAGGTGTTGTAGAGCTGAGAAGATTTATATCGCATAATGTAATTATAACCTAAAAATACAACAAGAAATAAATAAGACAGGGTTGAAAGTCCTACTGTTCAGCACTTCTTGGGCTAATCAAGACGGGCGTACGTCATGCAATGTATATTGAAGGAAATTCTTCCCGGGCAGCGGAGCTACGGTCTATTCTTATTCATTTTGAATTCCAACTATTTCGAACTGCCAATGGTTTTTTTATTTACGTGCACGCCAATGTGTACACTAGCTCATCCGAACGACTTGCCACTGGTCCTTGTCAGGTCCTACGTCCTGCATTACTGACAAAGGGGAACCACGCCGGAAAATCTGGATGAACTTTCTCGGCCAAAGCAGGATCGAAGCCCTGGAAATCACGCAGGAATATCTCAACACTATAACTCATTTGAACGACTTGCCACTGCTCCTGGTCAGGTCCACGGACCTGGAAATCACCCAGGAATATCTCAAGTAATTTTATAGAATTTAATCAGCTCAAATATTTCATTGAAATACCAAATAATATCGACATATTTTAAAGATAATTGAGTTTTTGTAACAAAGAAAATTAAAAACTTACATAATCAACCCATCCACGGAAATCATTAAATCCCTCACCATGACCCACCTGGAAGGCACACTGTGATACTTGCAACAGTCCTGTAAAATAGAAGAAAAATACACATTATAACCATCCGATCCCTACCAGAACATGGATTGTTAATTTTACCAGAACATCTGATCCCTGCCAGAACATGGCTTGTTAATTTTACCAGAACATCTGATCCCTACCAGAACATCTGATCCCTATCAGAACATGGCTCGCTACTTTTATCAGGCCACCTGGTCATCAAGAGTTCCAAGAAATGAGTTTCGTACTCAGCAGAGACACTTTTCCTTTAATTAACTAAAACAAGTTTTCTCACCAAAATCATCTGTTCACCTCATTGATAAACAACCCATTGCACGATCGATGGTGCATGCTTACAAAACCCTAAAAACCAAAACGCATCAAAACTGCTAAAAAAATATTTGCAAGTTACTAGTACCAATTCAGTTACCTGCAAAAGGCGTGGAATCGAGTTGAAGACCATCTTTACCACTGAACGTTCCTGATTTCAATTTGTATACAACTTCTTTCCAAGTGCTCTACATCAAATAAAACATTTAAAAGAACAACATTAAGTGAGCAAAATTTAGTAGAACATTTAGCAGAACAATGTAACATAATATAATCAATGAAATTCAAGGACACAATCTTTACAAAAGGGCTACTGGCTAATCGCACGGACAGCACACTATCTGTTCTACAAGGTTCTGCGTTCCAGACTCAGTGTTTGGCGATGACGTGATTAAGGATTCCTCAAGACATAAGATACAAATTTGCTAGAATGTATGGAAAATTTCCAATACTGCGCTGGCGGATATGTTCAGCTTCAGTATTCGCAAAAGTAATAATTACATTTCCATAGGCAATGCCGAATATATAGTTTGGGGCTGATAGGAGCTTCAACAAAAAGTATGAGCCGAACACCCTGTGAGCTTTCTAGGGGTCGGGAGCGGGGGTCATGCTTCCCAAGTGAAATTTTTGAATCTAGAATCCCTGAAATGACATTTGCTGGACTTTGTGGGAAGATTTTGCCGAATTCTAATGGTCAGAATACACTTATAACATGAGTAAAATTGACTACTACCCATGGGAATTCAAGTTATTTATTAAGAATTCTGCAAGAACGTACGAAGTACTGTGAATCTATTTTGATTTGTTTGTAGAATAAAGCCAGCGGCGTTTCAGTTGCTGGGAAATTTTACTAGTCGATACGAATGGTACCATTATAGAGATAGAAATGGAGTTTAACGTCTACTAGACACAAACTATGTCATTTCTGGACTAAGACATGGTTCAACTTTATTTCAATAATTCGCTTGCGCGTAGGGGTCTTTAGCACTGAGAGGAAGTCGGAGGACCCGGAGAAAACTCAAAGAGGTTGGACAGGCGACCCTACTCCTTGTCACGTACAGCCAGTTGACTCAATGAAAGACCTTATGATACAGCGCGCACCTGCTAACCTTTTTGGTGTTATTATATGCATTTAACCATATTGGAATCCTAAGCAGAATATTAATTTTTAAAAAGTCTGTGATGAGAATGCAATTATTGTATTGTGCATCTTTCATTTTGTAACAGCAAAGTAAAAATCCTTAATCGAGTGCAGTCTCTCTATACACATATCAACGCCCCCCCCCCCCATACCAGTATCGACAGATTTTTTATTCGTTTATAGAAACCACGGAGTACCGATTGAATCGTGTTACTTACAGATGTAGAAGTAGTCAGTGTCTGTGGTGATCTGGACACGCTTTGAGCTGTAAATTCAGTTGACTGACCATCAGCTACAATAGCAATTGTTGACGCTTCATTGCAGTCACCATTAGCAACGACGGCTTGTTGAGTTGTATTGCTAGGAAATTCAGCTCTGTATCTCGTGTAGATGGTGATCCGATCTCGGAAGTCAACATTCGCCAGTCGAGGAATCTTGATGCTGCTTCTACCATTAAAGTATGCTAGACCATTCTGTATAACAGCTCCATAGTTACCATACTCTCCTGGTTCGGCACTGTTAAAATCGATGTGGACAATAGGCTTACAAACTGAAAGTATATTAATGTATTACTATTCAAAACGTCAACAATAATAGACTGTTTTCCTAACACACTGCATTATGTACACCTATCATCACTAGCACAGGGCTTGCCAAGATAGCTGTCTAGTCTTTCGGATAGGACGAAAAACCGAGATCCCATGTACACAATGGCGTGTACGTAAACGATCTATTGGCAGTCGCAATTCGATATATGGGTAGGCCGTAGCGCCGCTGTCCTGGCGAAATTTCCCTCATTCGCCCAGTCGAAGCAGAACAAAAGGACGTTAAAATTCATTTCATGTCATGAGTACAATCGGTGGAGAAAGCCAGAACGTCGAACCCCGTGTAATTTCATTCCATTCCATTTTATTTTAAGCTTGTGCACTTCAGTTCATGTTGGTCACAAAATAGATTTTTTAAGGGTAAATTCCGAAATGGCCGGATTGTGACTGGTACATTTCAGATAAACTACCGATCAAAACACTTTCATAACCTTTCGTAATGAGGTATTGACTATGCTGTATAATCCACGTCAAGGATACTACATGTATTATGTTGTCACATGCATTGGACGCATTATAAATGTTACTGAAGTGACCAGCGAAACAAACACCACGATAAAAGTATCTGGAATGAATTAGATCGAATAACTGACCCGGCGTACATGATTCAATTAGATTGACCCGGTGTAACTGATTTAATTAGATTGACCCGGTGTAACTGATTTAATTAGATTGACCCGGTGTAATTGATCTAATTAGATTGAGTCCCTGGCCCGGTGTACAAGATTTAATTAGATTAAGACACTGACCTGGTATACAAGATGTATGAACGGATGTACTACAACCACAGACAGATTGATCATAAGCTGTTCCACCAGGACAGGGCATCTTATATGTTACTCCATAAACATCCCAATTGTAGTAACAGGGCTCGTTTAATATGGCTGTCATGTGACACTTTCCTGAAATAATATACATATATATCGTTACAGAGGTCAGATAAGGTGCCGTGGAGGCTCAGAGAGTAAGGTGTTGGTCCGCTAACCTGAGGTTGACCCTCCTTGTCAGTGGTGCAGGTGAGATGTCCAAACGAGGAACCTCGTCTAATTGTTCGGATGGGACGAAAAGCCAAAATCCCGTGTGCACGTAAAAGAACCCTTGACACTATGAATTAGAGATATGAGTTAGCTATTCCAAGATGGGGGATGACAGGACCTTTTTGATTCAGTAAAGATCAGAGGAGAGAGCGGATGGGGGTTAGGGGGTGTAGAGAGATCTTTAGCAGTTGGAGAAAACCGGCGGACCCGGAGAAAACCTATGAAGTTAGACAAATTACCCTACTTCTTATCGCGTCCAAGCGGGGCATCGAAACCACGTCAGATGATTCAATGACAGACTTTATGATCTAATGCGCACGCGTTAAACCATTCAGCCACCGAATCCCCAACCTAAAAAGAAATGAAACGGTAAACTTACTCGGGACTGGCGGCTCTGGTTTGCAGTCTGAATCCGTGATACAGTACCCTAGAATAGCATTGTAGGATTGACCCTCGGGGCATGTTCGGCTGTGTGACACTCCGTTAACACATTGATAATACTGAGAACAATTTCCGCTGGTTTTATAGGTGGCAGGTGGTGTTGGTGCGGTACATACATCTGTAAAATAAAACATTAGGGGGTTAGGGTTAGGGTTATTAAAATACGATGAGTAAGTAAGGATCAATATGTCGAGAACAAATGTGTGTGGAAATATCTAATGCGACCCTGTATTACACAAACGTATTATGTTTACGATTTCTATTTGTTAACCAAGAACTGATTCATGCCCTTAGGAATCGTCCTAATCTTGGTGGTAACACTCCATAAAAACGCCCAGCACAATCGACATGGAACTTATTATGATTATTCATACATTGTACATCGAACGACTACGGTCGAATACAAGATGGCTGCCGTAACATCGTGGAAGGTTCCTGGTGCGCATGTACTTCGATAGAACTGGCTGACTGACAAAAACCTTTTCCGTTGACACAGTGAAATCATATAAGGCCCCCTGTTCACAATTTGAGTAAATTCTTAACTTAATTCTGCGAATGCTTTGTGTAATTTGAGTAAATTCTTAACTTAGGTCTGCGAATGCTTTGTGCAATTTGAGTAAATTCTTAACTTAAGTCTGAGAATGCTTTGTGAACTCGAGACTAGGTATACTATTGTGTCAATCACGAGGAGAAGCTAAATCAGACATGAATTCTTTCAACTGTATGACACGTATGAAAATAGGACAAAATGAACTGAGAAAGTATTTACAAGTGTAACATCTGTCATCGTCAGGAAAACTATACATTGTCAGGACAAATAAACACTGTCAGGACAAATAAACACTGTCAGGACATCTATACACTGTCAGGACAACTATACACTGTCAGCACAAATATACTGATGTCTAAAAGAAAGTATACACACTAAAAGTATGACTAAGTTTTGTTTAGATTAAAAACATTTGATAAAGCATTACTGAGTTTGTCTCTTGCGTCCAAACTCTACATTTCTAAGCAAAATAAAAATGTGAAACAAATTGACATTCTACCCAAATACCGTATACCATGGAAAAACGACTTTGGTTGATGCAGCACAAAATGCACAGTGTATACTTTCTTTTTGGACATTAGTATATACACTGTCAGCACTGGGACCGCCGGCGATCAAGGAGAAAAGAATGCGTCCCGAAATGAACTAGTTTTGAGTCGACGTTAAAGTCCATTTCTGTCTTTCTGTTATTCTACATCAATTAGTCAGTCTACTGTAATGTGTTTGAACTTTCTATATGTACTGTTATTCTACTGGGGTCAGTCTACTGTAATGGGTTTTAACTTTCTATATACACAGTTTTTCCATTGGGGTCAGTCTACTGTAATGGAAGGTTTTGCATACTGAAACAGAACGGTGTTTCACGGCCTACTTTTCTGCTCCGACTGGACTAATGACAATTGCGTTTTATTTGTCTACTAATCTTACCTACCATTAGGACAGTTGACTTTGCCAATATAATTACAGGTGAGAGCAGATTGGTCCCAATAAGTTCCAAACGGGCACTGTTTGACAGTATAGGCGAGTGATAGTTGACATTGTAGGAATTTATCGCAATCGCTAGTTCGGAGGTAACCAATACCATTCCTCAGGATACATCCAAAACATGGTCCATCATCGGTGTAAACATCGGTATCTGTAATACAAATGAAACGAAATGAGATGGAATGAAATGGGGTTTAACGTCCTTCTGTTCTGATACGCCTGGGTTGATTAAGAGGTATGTACATTAATGCAGTGCGCTATAAAGGGAGATTTTCCCAGATACTAAAGCTACGGTCTACTCTTATGCAGAACTTCAACAGCCAAGGGATCTTTTACGTGTATGTAAATGTGTACACGGGACCTCGGTATCTATAATAGAACAGAATGATAAAACTTTGATTAGTTCTTGTTTGAAATGATTGTGCACAGTGATCGCTTCTCTGTGTTTACATGGTTTTAAATTTAACAATATACAAGTTTAAAAAGATAATAATTAAAATAGAATTGGACTGAAATGAGGTTTAACATCCTATTGTACTCCACCCGGCACCGACAACGACGAAAAAAAATTAAGATTAAGAATTGAATGTTTAAAAAAGAAAGCCGACACTTTAAAAACAAAATTTAAAGTTTAAAATAAAATGTTTATTAGCCGAACAAAAGAAAATTATAGTTTAAAATTTAAAAATAAAAATTTAAAAAAAAAACTTATAATAAGTTAAACAATTTAAAAGTTTCTGAAAAAAAACAAAGTTTAAAAACAACATTTAAAGTTACAAAGAAAACGATGAGTAGCTAATGAAGCCGGACATACGTCATACAGTGTGCTATGAGGGAAATTTTGACCGGGCAGTGGCGCCACGGCCTACTCTTATATCGAATTCCAACTGCCAAGGGATCTTTTACGTGCATGCCAATGTGTAAACGGGACCTCGGCATTTCGTCCTCGTCAGTCTCTTCGTCCTGCACCACTGAAAAGAGGAAACCACATCGGAAAATCCAGATGAACTTTCTCAGTCAATGCAGGGATCGAACACGCGAGACCAAGGATAGCGAGCCACTGGCATACCCATTTAGCCACCGTGGCTCCCTCCTGCATCATTAAATATTATAATATCATTAGTAATGATATTTCCGCGATTAACTATTGAGTTATAGATAAGAAAGAAAATCACGTCTAAAATACACTACACCGTCTAGCACGGATAGACTGAGACGGAGGAGCCAGCTAGTATGATAGGCTCGGCAAGTCCCTAAAGACGCCAATCTCACGTATTTTAGATGTCCTAATGATTAGTCTTTAAATTATGTGTTAGTTAGTTCTTTTGTTGTATTGTTGGTGAATTAGTAAGAAAAGAATTCACCCTATAAATTACTTACCATCACAGACCATAGCTATCACGCCAACTATTGTTTGGGTAAGTTGATCGAAATTATCAATGTTGATGACCTGTGACGAATCCGAGGCGATTCCTGCTAATTCTGAGGCCACGGGACCACTACCAACCCCAACAGCAAACACGCTTATACCCATGTTCTTTGCTTGTGCTGCAGCGGCCAATGTTGCGTTCATATTATTCGACCTTCCATCTGTTAAAATAAAAGGTTAACAAAAAACGTAGCAAAATTAACGAGTTTAATATTCAAGAGCTAAAACGAGAGAGAGAGAAATGGGGTTTAACGTCCACTCGACACAAACTAGGTCATTTCGGGACTAACACATGGTTCAGTTTTATTTCAATAATTCGCTTGCGCGTAGGGGTCTTTAGCAGTGGGAGGAAACCGGAGGACCCGGAGAAAACCCACGAGGTTGGACAGGCGACCCTACTCCTTATTACGTACAACCGGGGAATCGAAACCCCGCCAGTTGACTCAATGACAGACCGTATGATACAGCGCGCGCGTGCTAACCATTCGGCCATCCAACCCCCCAAGAGCTAAAACTGCCCATTTGTAGGTCTTTATTCAGGCCTTAAATGTTATCTAAATTATTAATACGACATTTATTAACTTGCCAAGACCATAATCAACTCTCTATGCCGTCGGATGCACTTGATTTTCAACGGATTTAAACACGATTGTCGGTTAATGATTTAATTAGAAAATGGATAATCGAGACTTTGCGTAATATCGTAACAACAGTAGCAATGACAATCGAGAATTCGCTATTCTCCAGACAGTCCTTAGGTCGCTCAGAATAAAGTAATGCACAGTGCATCTTTAAGTACTGTAAAAATAAAATGCCCCAATAAAAAAAATTGATGTAGCCTCTAAAATATTCGTACTAACTTATGTAATTATATGATTCGGGGCTTTATTCACAGGTATTTAAGATTTAAAGGAGGTAGAACTTCTGGGCAAATGGGAACTTATTTCATAATTTGGGGCCTGTACTGTAAACGATTGTTCATCGTGAGTTTTCAGTCGATGACCTCAATGTACTAGTAGGGAGGGGGGGTGGAGAGAGGGAGAGAGAGAGAGAGAGAGGGAGAGAGGAATTGGTTTAACGTCCACTCGACACAAACTAAGTAATTTCGGAACTTAAACATGCTTCAATTTTATTTCAATAATTCGCTTGGGGGGGGGGCGCAGGGACCTGGAGAAAACCCACGAGGTTAGACAAGCGACCCTATTCCTTGTCACGAACAACCGGGAATTCGAAACCACGCCAGTTGACTCGATGACAGAACTTATGATACAGGTTCTATCTCGGTATTGACCGAGAATGTGCTTTGTGATTTCTCCGCTTGATTTCTCTATGTTAGTGATACAGGCCTGTTGACACGACGAAAACTCACAAGGTTATCTAGGGGACCCTATTTCCTGTCACGTAGAATATACTCTAAAACCCACTGTACCACCCCCACTGTACGACCCCATACCCAACTAAAACCCACTGTGCCACCCCATACCCAACTAAAAAAATGGAAGAAGTTATTTTTCCTCTACCTGTTATTACAATAATAAATTGTTTATTTTCTGGTATTCCATAATCTTCAAATTCTTGAATCACACGCGTCAATCCCAAAGCTGTATTTGTCCCTCCCTTTGGTTGTTGCAGAGAAGCAATACCCGACATCAAGGCAGTCACGTTGCTAGATAATGGAATAGGTACCGTTACAATTGAGCTAAAAACTGCCACTCCAAAACGCCTGTCAACTCCATTTAGTCCAAGAGAAGCCGGAAACATCTCCAAAGAATTTTTTATTTTTTGGAAATCGGCCCTTGCAATACTCCCGGATCCATCTACAAGAGCAATGACATCAAATCTCTGTTCACCACATGTAGCAGTTTGTGCTGTAAAACAGAGGCAATAGAATTACAAATTTAAAAATATTAATTTAAAAAATATTCTAAACATAGTTTGCCAGAATACCCCCTCTCCCCAACCCCTCTCTAACGATAAGACATTTCCAGGTAGCCAATAAATTCATAAAATGTATAAATAATAAGTTCTTACCGTGGGTGACTGAACATTGCGCTGCTACCAAAACAACCAAAATTAGTTCCTTCATATTGACTGAAAATATTCACATGCTTCGTATTATATGTTAGCAGGTGGGCGTAATTAATAAATTCAGGGTAGATTTGTTATTGAACATTTAATTAAGAAAAAATAAAATGAAATTATAACCGCTAGATAACGCCCCGGCTCGGATTCAGTTGAATTTAAGCTAGGCCCACTATGGTTTCACTGCTACCAATAAAAGATACCGGCATAGATCGATGAAATTTCAATTGACTTTGTAAATACAAAGAGAGAGAGAGGTCATTTTGGGACTAACATATGGTTTAATTTTATTTCAATAATTCGCTTGCGCGTAGGGGTCTTTAGCAGTGGGAAGAAACTGGAGGACCCGGAGAAAACCCACGACGTTGGACAGGCGAACCAACTCCTTATCACGCACCACTTGATTCAGTAAAAGACCTTATGATGAAACGTGTTCAGTATTATGCGTATTTAGAAAAACCAAATATTAAAACATTTAGACAGCCCAAAAGGTGTTGACGACGATCTACTACACCTTTTCTTACCTTCTATAAAATACAGGTGTATTCTCGTTACAGATGAGCTGTAATACGAACCGAATTATTCTACGGACCAAACCCAGTGCTACCTTAAATACGTCTGTGCCAATATTGATATGAAATGGGGTTTAAAGTCCTACTGTTCTGTTCCAACTATGCTAACGAAGACGGGCTTACGCCATGCAGTGAGCTATGGTGTCGCTTTGCACGGATAGCTGCGCTACAGTCCACTCTTATATCATTTTCCAACTGCCAAGGGATCATTTACGTCCAGGCCAATATGAACGCGGAATCGTTTTTTTCATCCATCCTGAACCACTGTCAAGGAGAAACCACGCCGGAAACCCCGCGGAACCTTCACGACCAGCATCGGGAACGAAACCCGGGTCCTCTTGGTTATCTGTATTGGAATAGTCGTTAAACACAGGCTCACAATTCCTGTAAATACTAGCAACTAAAACAGTTGAATAGTATTTTCTTTTTTAAAAACCAAAATCTAGAAAGTCAATTCTACTTACCGGGATATCAGTTCCTCTCCAACCAGGCGCCCATCTGTAAAATTGGGTATTCGGGCTGCTATTTATGTGCAATCTGGAAGCCGTAGCTAACACAACTTCAGACGCATAATTTATCGACACAGGCTTCTGATTGGCTGTCAGCGAAAATCCGGGTTCAAAAAGTGTCAGCCAATTGAAACTAGTATTTTTAAGCGACCGGAGATTGAAACCACCCCATGATGACTCGACAATTAAGAAATTCCCCTCCCCGATCAAAGATCAAGGTAACATTGAAAAACCCCTTTCATTTCCAATCATTCTTTACTGAGAAATTCGTCCCAGTAAAAGTTTTACAAAAGAATGAAAATATTCAAAAATTTTTTTTTATTTCATAAAGTAACACAAGATCCCTGCTCCACGCGGGAAGTACTTAACGCACTTTAGACCAACATTTGACCTTCCTTAAGCCGAACATACACGATTCAACATTAACAGATCAATTTGTTCGCCGTCTGTGGATTTAAATAACACGAACAAAAATAAATGTTCCAAAAAGATGTTCGTGAAATCGAATGTGTTGGATATGGGGAACTCAGTTCGTCGTCTGAGGTCGCCTGTCCAACCTCGTGGGTTTTCTCCGGGTCCCCCGGTTTCCTCCCACTGCTAAAGACCTCTATGCGCAAGCGAATAATTGAAATAAAATTAAACCATATTATGTTAGTCCCGAAATGACCTAGTTTGTGTCGAGTGCATGTTAAACCTCATTCATCTCTCTCTCTCGTCGTCGTCTGAGTTGAAACCGAACATTTGAGGAACATTTTATTTTCCACACACACCAATCAGCGATCACATACTTATCACATGACCTAAAAATGTCATGTGATATATATGCCATTTTGAAATCAGGTGATTTATGGGCGATAGGTATTGTTCGAGCTGAAACATTCGTTCGTCTGCGTTACCATGTTCGTTCGGGGTTTTTTGTTCGTTGACATAAATGTTCCCTCGTGTGCGCTCGGCTTTAAAAAGTATAACGAATCAAACGTCTTGTATGCAACTAGAGTAAAATGACATGTCCCAACTCGCGTCATCCATGAAATGAAATGAAATGAAATGGGGTTTAACGTCCTACTGTTCTGCTCCGAACTGGGCTAATGAAGACCTGGTCATCCATGTAAGTGTGTGCGTACTCTTTAATTAGTTCAAGTTATTCCTAGCATGCTATTCCCTGGGAAACTGAGACGTGCATTAAATTATTAAATTACATATTCTATATCAAGAAATATAACTGCACTGTTCTCCGTATCTTTTTCGGTGCCCTCGACTCTGAAATTATGGGCATATAGGTACTGGTTTCATGGAGCTAAGTCAAAGAGTTTCAGATTTAGGGGAAAATATGTTTTACACTAATGGCAGCTGTTAATTTGCATATTGTGCATTATGTAACAAAGTGATTATATTCTAAATGTGTTTATTGACTTCCCTCTCCACGAAAACATTTGAACATTAGAGACTTTTGGCAAGCGGAATTTTTACCATCCGTATCACGTATCCGTATGTATACGTGATACGTTGCGTCAATGCAGTTTTTCAGTTTGGGCAGATTTTCGCGTCGCGTACGTTTGCATCGCTGAGCCGAGCTTAGTTCTATTACAGCATGATGGCAGATATCTACCAAGGTCACCATCAGTACTAGTCAAGTGCCTAGCCTACAATTTCTCGGTGGGAGTGAAGTCGCTCGATATTAAAAATAATTAATGTCGACTTTGGTTTCACTTATGTATCATTTCAGAAAGTTTAAATTTGTAAGCCCCCCCCCCCCCTAAATTGAGCACGAAGATCAACCAGTAGGCAGAAAAGTATGAAAATCCCGAGAAAAACCCCATCAAAAATAATGATTAAATTCCAGTCTTTATCATGGTTAAATCACATCAAATATACACCTTCGTGTTCTAGGATACACAGAGATTCATAAAAACGCTATGATACAGCATTTCAGCGTATAAAAGTAGCAAACAAAGACAGTAAAAAGACGACAATGTTATACGACCCTTTTCCGTATGAAAGCTGTTCGATACGTGCTGCCGTATCCATGTTCCGTATCACGTATGAGAAATACACACACATTGGTGACGTCACACGCAAAATCCATACGGATACGCGATACGGACCAAGAATTTACGCTTACCAAAAGTCTCTATTATATAGCGAAGTTATAGCCTTTAATCAATTTTTTAAACATGACATTATGCTAACTAGCATATTAAGCAATTTGACCCTTTTCAACCAAAAATATTTTGGAACATTTTTGGAATGTTGTTTAGGGGACTATACTGAAATGCATCCCATTGAAATTAATTTTATGGCAATATTTTTCGGGTCTAACCCCATATTGACTGGACTATATAATAGCAAGGTCTGAATTTGGCACTGTAACCAGCATCACATGCTTTTGTCTTACACCAAACGAACCATAACCATCACAGTTAACTCTTATGTTCACCACTGAATAAAAAGAAATGGATTTACATTTTTTACATTTCTAGAAAGACTAACCTACGCCATGCAGTGGATAATAATGGGATATCTCTCCGGACAACGGCGTTTCCATTTAATCATCTTCAAATTGCATCTGTCAGGGGTTCTTTAAGATGCACGTCAATGACCATACAAGACACGGTTCATATCCGTGACTAATAATTTATGACCAGCTAAAAACGAGAAATTGCACCCACCGAATGTTAGGAACAGTCCGTCTCGTTAATCAACAGTGCATATCTTTTACTCCATTATTCTCTATTACCGAAAATACTGGGCCAAAATAATCGGAACATCTGTCCAAAAATGGTTCAGTTCCGTTCAGTATTTACAAAGTTAAGATTTACAAATTGAAATTTCGTCAATCTATGTCGACATCTTTTATTAGTAGCAGTGAAACTTGGTGGACTTAGCTTAAATCTAATTGAATCCAAGCCGGGGCGTTATCTAGCGGTTATATTTTCATTTTGTTTTTATAATTAAATGTTAAATAATCAATCTGAGTACATATTAGCATGGGTTAAGCCGTGAGAAATTTGACTTCGGAGCATCGAGCCTTTAAACCTGTTGATACCAAGATTACTACAAGGCAATGGCGGTCACTAGAACGCCTAATGTACTTAAAACTCATGTATATTATGTCAAATCTATTTATGTAAATGATGCGTCCATTCAATTGTGCAGAAACGTCAGTCATCAAACCGGATTTCATTTCGTTCGGTTTGAATAATCCTTGTGCAACGAACCCGTGACTAATAGCTACCTGGGTCCTGGGGTAAAAGGTATTGATTTATAGATCAGTGGTTCTCAGCCTTTTTTTGCCAACGGCACACCTTGGAACACCTGAACAAATAGCGGCACACCTGGCTAAATATATATGAAAAATATTTGAATTTTGCAAATACAAAAAACATGTTAAGGCAGACGGAATACAATCGTAGACAAGAGACTAGTCATAGACAATAGAATGACTTAAATTAAATAAAGAAAAACATAGCTATGAACTTACCACTTACATTTTCTTAGTGTGCCGATCAAAATTTCGCGGCACACTTAGTAAGATCTGGTGTGCCGCGGCACACTGGTTGAGAATCACGGAAATGGGTTGTAGAAGCCAACGCCTGAATTATAATGAGTAGCCTAATAACTTCCAGGCGTCCAGACCAATGGTTTTAAAGGGTACGGTGATGATGTTTTCAGCACTTTAGTCTATGCTCCGCCCTGCACAACTGGCAAGGGAAATGAAATGGGGTTGAGCGTCCTACTGTTCTACTCCGACTGGGGTAATGAAGACGTGCATACGATACAGTGTGCTATGAGGGAAATTGTGCCAGGCTAATGTATACACGGGACCTCGGGTTTTCGTCCCATCCGAACGACTAGACAGCTGTCCTTGGCAGGCCCTCCATCCTGCACCACTGACAAGGAGAACCCACGTCGGAAAAAAACGAAGAAATTTCTCGGCCAATGCAGGGATCGAACACGCGACCAGCGTCTTACCCACCGTGGTTCCTAACTGGCAAGGGAAAGCAAACTGGATTATTCTAAGAAACATTGGTGATCCACACCGGAATCAAACCAGGGAACCTTTGGTTTTGGACCCAACCCACTCCCTCCCCAACATACACAATTCGAAGAGTACACGAAGTACACCTGTTTGAACCATATACCTGGGACTTTAAATTGTTCATGGTTAAAACCATTATGTAACTCCTATACATGTTCATTTTATTGCAATACAATTTTAAGGAAATGTAGCTTCCTTTGAATACGACAACACAATATGGCTATCACAAGATTCAACGGTATTTTTAAAAAGAAATTTCGCTTTTATTAGTTTGTGAAATATTAAGTTCTAAACGCGTCTTCGATGTCAATATAAATGATAATGGGGGTCGACACTAAATACTTTTTTGACTGAATAATAATCTAAATATGACTTGGGGTTTGGGGTAAAGTGGGTAAAGTGTGCATTTAGATGCTAATGAGTTAACGTTCACCTTGAGAACAAGGAAGGTAATATCCATACTGTTGTATGTTGTGCTGCAAGGGAAATATTGCATCAAGCAGCGCATTAAAAGGGGGTCCAAATATTTCACTATCTGGTTCAATTACATTTTTTATTTTTTTGCGAAATCTAGTTTTGAATTATATCTTTGCCAGACATATTGTGTCAGTATGACTTTATGTCGTTAAAGAGGAAGCTGAATTCACGGTGATCTCGATGGGTTGTGAGAATTTCCATTGGGGTGGGCGGGGGCTCAGCGTGGGTTTACCTGTTAATGGTGCAGGAGCCATAGCCGCATTAGGAAGGGGGCGGTTGCTGACTGAGATTTTGTACGATAAATAGATGTTTTATGTTGCGGTAGCGATTAACAAGTTGACGCATGTATATGAAGAGCCCGGGGAAGAACGATCTTTAAGTCACTTTTTCAATGAACCCCAGTTAATGGCACCATCTGGTAGCAAATTGTATAAGCTTTCTGTGGAACAATCAATTTCAGGTAAAAACGATCGGAGTCACATCGAACCAAGGCCCTTCTGAAATGACTTCCCGGACAAATACAATCAATCGTACCCT